AGAGAGAGAGAGAGAGAGAGAGAGAAAGAAGGAGAGAGAGAGTGTGTATGTGTGTTGTGTCTGTGTCTGTGTGTACATATAATAATTATAGGTGGCATGTCAATAAAGAAAAGCAGCAAAGAAAGAAGTGTTTCGTTAACAATGTTGTTCTGTCTGTGGAGGTGGGGAACGAACAATATTAGAAAGTTACAGAAGTCTCAGTAGCCCATGACGATACTGCGTGCTCTGACTAGAAACTTTCATGGTTGTTGTTGTTGTTTTTGCTTTTGGTAAGTGTTTTACGGCGCTCGGAACTGCATAAGGTCAAATGAGCCCGTGGGACATTAAACATTTTCAATTGGTAGGAAATTTTGAATTTTGCCCGGGTGGCGGTCGAAGCCTACTCTTATCGATTTTAGACCTCCAAGGGATCTTTAACGTGCACAACTTGGACACGGGCCCTCCAAGATTTTTCGCCCTTGCCCGAGAAGGTTAGGTGTAGATCTTTCCTACCAGAAGATCAGGGGTGTGGCTGAAAGACAACAGTAAGAAGGAGCCAAGGAGTAGCAGTAGAAAGGCTGCAGAAAGAGTCAGGAGCCAAGAGGAGGGGGCAAAGGAGGTGATGGGGTAGGGGCAGAACACGGCTAGAGAGCAGGAAAGGAGGCGAAAGGAGACAATTTTCGAGAAGAAAATGTTTCGGTCGCTACCCGGATTCAAACCCGGGACATTTGAATGAGAGGCCAACACCTCTAGGCCACGGGAGCCCCCGTTGTTGTTGTTGTTGTTTGTTTTGTTTGGGGGGGGGTGTGAGTACTGGTTTTGTTTGGGGGTTTGTTTTTTGTTGTTGTTGTTTTTTTTGCGGGGGGAGGAGTCCGGTCTTTTTATTTGTTGCTTTTATTTTGCACCCTTATTCATGGCAAACACCAGTTGTCATCTTTTTTAATGAATGAGTAGGTGGCGTTTTTGGCCTCAGTGAAATCACTTTGCTCCTGTCGTAATGAAGTTTTGTTGTTTTTTATTTTGTTTTTTTTTCCTTTATTATATTTTTGTTGTTTTTATGGGGGATTAGTTGATGCTGATTCTGTTTGTTTTGTTGTTGTTGTTGTTGTTTTTTTTATTTGTTTGTTTGGTTTGCTGTGTACGTTGGTTTTTGGGGTTGTTTTGTTTAGTTTTGTAATTGATGTTTTGTTTCTTCTTTTTTCTTGGGGG